CAAGCATTGAGAAATAAGGTTGAGAAGGAGTTTTAAGCTCACTTCAAGTCCTTCTCGCAAATGGTACTGTGCGCATCGAGATATGGAATTGAGAAGCAATTTGAAGCAGTTTACACAATTTCAAAATTTAAGGAAGTTCAAGAGGAGTTCACAGGTAAAATGTACTACGACCTTGTTTCTTTCTCTGAGGGATTATCGGGGGCAACGTGCGAGGTACGGGAGGATGTAATTAATGACGAGCATTCGAAGGAAAAAAAGTTTTTTTGTCACATTTCAAAGAGACAAATGTGAAATCAATTGCAGTTGCCACAACTTTGAGTTTTGAGGGATTATTTGCAGACATATGATTGCACTATTGGTCCGTAATGACGTGAAATCTATACTCGAAAGATATATATTACGGAGATGGCGACGAGATGTGAGTAGGGCCCACACAAGGGTACCAGTGAACTATGATGGTTTGATTAGTACGCCAGGGCAATTGAAGTACGACAAAATATGTCAACGCTTTGCTACATTGGCCGATTTGACAGCAGAAGATGAAGCGAAATCGGATGCAATAATTGATTGGATTGACAGTCAATGTCAAGAGATGATGGAAACAAATCATAGTAATAATAATGTCCTCTCCCCTCATACGACTCAGACATCATTCCAATGTAGAGCACTACAGGATACTGGAAGTGGTAACATAAGGGATCCAGAATGTGTGAAAAGAAAAGGTACCCCGAAGAAACTTCGAAAGAAGAGCCCATTGGAAACCATTTCAAGCAAAGTTAAGGTAATACTCAAATGTTGCCTATTTCCAGTTGTTGCGAACTCACTATAGAGATAATGTCTAACAACATTCCTTGTTTTGTAGGCAAGTACGGGTTCTACCAAATGGAAGAAAACGAAGGTTCCTAGAAGTGATATGGGAATGGTTGTAGCGCCCATTGTCCAGCCACCTCAGCAACTGCACGTGCCGCTTCTATTCTCCTATACGAACCTCCTTCTGGTTAGCATTTGTTAATCATTTGATTTCAATGATAATGTACTATTTACCGATAATGCTATTTCGCGCAGGGTGGGAACCGAAATCTTCAGTTCACACAACACTTGCAATTCAGGTGTCTAAACCCTTCATCGGCAACAACTCATACATTAAATATGCAAGGTGAATAAGTTGTTATGTACAACTTAGTGCTTTGCAAACATTGTTCATTATGTATATTGATTCACATCTAATAAACTACCTT